CTCTGAAGGGGATTCTGATCCCTCCTCACGTATCTTCCCCTTCTCGGCCACCGGACTGGCTTTGGGGAGGAGTTCTATCTCTCCATCTTCATCTTCGGTTTCCCCTTTCCCATCCTTCGTTCCCTTTTCCCCCTCCGGTGTCTTCTCCCTTTGTTCGCTTTCTCTATTTCCCCCCTCTTCCTCTTCCTCCTCCTCCTCCTCCTCCTTGTCATCTTTGTCTTCGACCTCCCCTTTTCCATCCTTAGACCCCTTTTCTCCCTCCGAGGTCCCCTTCCCTTGGTCGCTCTCGGGCATGGCGGTCACAAAACAATCTTGGGAATTTTTTTGAAATGCCCCTCCGACATCCATTTATTTCCTGTATGTCCCTTTACCCTGTCGTGCCCCTGGTGCCTCTGAAGTCTCCAGCATGCCCCTGTCAGTGAGGAGTTTAACTTTCCAGCATGCCCCTGTGACCGTTGGTCGCACTTGAGGCCGTTCCCCTGGCCCTGGGAGGGAATCTACCGGGGCATAATGGAAATTTGCAACCAGTACCGATAGGGGCATATTGAACATATTTCAGGCCCAAACAACGCCAGGGATTTTCCAGAAACTTCAATCGTTTCAGAGGGGCTAAGTCGGCCGTCGGAGGAAATGGAAGTGGGAGGGGCTTTTCATAAACTTTTCCCAAAAAATCTTCCATTTGGGCGACACCCCGGACGGGCCCGGTTCCCAGCACATGCTGCTCCCCACAAATAGATCGGAGTATTAAAAAAAAAAAAAAAGATTCTGTTCATCAAGTTGGACCCAAGCTGAGACCTGCATGCGGCTCCCTCTACAGACTGTCGGGCTGCAATCTGCCTCTTCATCTTCATCTTTGTTCTCACTCTCTTTTGTTTTCGGGTTAAATCTGCTCTCTCTCTCTCTTTTTTTTTCTTTTTCTTTTTTTTTTTTGAAAAAAAATCTCGGGAGCCTACTATTGGAAGTGATATGAGCATCCCCCTGGTTGCACTCCCAGGGGAATACCCACTAAGGTACTCCACAATTCTGTTCATCTGACACTACTGGTACTATCTGGATTCGAACTTGGGTCTGTATTTCTAAAGTTCATCAGGTGTACCAGCTGAGCTAGGCCCCTTAGCAACTCCACTATTCAAAGGATTAGCTACAGCTAGTACAATCTCCCCCCCCTTTCCCCCCCTTTACCAAAAGGGAAAAGACAACTGCCTGCCTCCCTCCCTCCCTCCCTCCCTCCCTCCTAATCCTTCCAAACTTCCCTTCTATCTGCTGCAGGCTGGTAGGAAGTCATACATGCTAGACAAGTGCAGTTGTTGTCGCAGCTATTTATTCTTGGCCACTCTTTTTTTTTTTTTTTTAATGATGAAATAGCAAAACCACAATACTAGGAGATTCTTGGCCGTTCTTGTGAATGACATTTTAGTAGTATCTTACCCACCATGATCATTATAATATCCCAAAAAAACAAAAACCAAAAAAAAAACATCATTGTGCTATCATTGTACTACTGTTGCACCATTCTTGTAGTACAATCAGCTTACCTTCCACGCATCATCGGTGTAACATCGTTGTTCCACCTGATATTCATGCCTTTTTTTCGCGAGCAAGGAGCAAACGATACCACAATACCTGCCATTGCAAAAAACTTGTCTGAAGGCGTTCTCCCTTGTTCTGGGTTTGCAGCTGGAAAAAAAAAAAAAAAAAATTTGCTGCGCTACAACGGTGCGAGAACGTGGGGCTAACGATCCGTTTTCCGAACGGCGAAAGAGATGGCTGGTGCTATGAAAGTACTCTAGTTAGAGCCTCGCACAACTACAACTCCAGTGATGAGCCTGGCTGCCCCTTGCGGATGGACACTACACCTGACAATGACACACGTGACGTCTTCTTAAACTCTCTCTCTCTCTCTCTCTCTCTCTCTCTCTCTCTCTCTCTCTCTCT